ATAGTGATTTTATCCAGTGACAGGACTAGTAAGTGTTCCTAAATAATTTAATGAGGTCTTTTTTAACGGCTAAAGTGTTGAGAATAGGGTTTTAAAACTGAATTAAAATGAAATCTAAATTTCATGATTCTATGAGTAACAATAGAAAATGACAAAGTAACTTTAATTTGTAATTTAAACATTAATATATGTAAAATAATTTGATTATGCTATCATGCAGAACATTATTAAACAAATTTATATTATTGCTTTAGACTACTGGGGCCAAAAAGGTTAACTCTATTGTCTCCTTATTAAACTCAAGAGATTGGATCATAAGAAGTTGATTCTTACTACATTAAATACAGTTAAATTTTCATCAAACTTTTACTATGTCACTAAGAGTCTGCCCATTAGGCACTGAGTTAGATCTGAGGGTGGGTGTACAGGTCTTATTTTTATTCTTGTTATGCTTTTTGTTAAGATTCTATGATTTTTAACAGATTGTTTAATTTTATGACATAGAAAACAAAGGCATACCTTGCTTTATTGTACTTTGCTTTATTGTGCTTTGTAGACATTGTATTTTTTTACAAATTGAAGGTCTGTGGTAACCCTGCACTGAGCAAGTCTACTGGCCCCTTCACCATTTGCTACTTTGTCATATTTTGGCAATTGTCACAATATTTTAAACTTTTTCATTATTTTTACATTTGTTACGGTGGGTGATCTACGATCAGTGATCTTTGATGTAACTACTGTGACTGCTTTGAAGCACCACAGATGGCACCCATGTAAGACTGCAAATTTAATTGATAAATGTGTATGTTCTGACTACCCCACGGACTGGTCAGTCCCCTGTCTCTCGCTCTCCTCACACCTCCATAGTTGCTGAGACACAACAATATTGTGCCAACAACATCAGCCCAGTTAACAACCCTACACTAGCCTGCAAGTATTCAAGTGAAATGAAGAGTCACACATCTCTCACTTGAAATCAAAAGCTAGAAATGATAAAGCTTAGTGAGGGAGCCTTGTCCAAAGCCAAGATAGGCTGAAAGCTTGGCCTCTTGTGCCAAATGGTTAGCCAGATTGTGAATGCAAAGTAAGGTTCTTGGAGGAAAATTAAAAGTGTGACTCTAGTGAAGACACGAATGATAAGAAAGTGAAACAGCCTTACTGCTGACATGGAGATAGCTTTTGCAGTCTGGATAGAGGATCAAACCAGCCACAATATTCCCTTAAGCCAAAGCCTAATCCAGAGCAGGGTCCTAACACTCTTTAAATCTATGAAGGTTTAGGTGAGAAAGCTGCAAGAAAAAGGTTTGAAGCTAGCAGAGGTTAGTTCATAAGGTTTAAGGAAAGAAGCAGTAACGTAACGTAACGTAACGTAACGTAACGTAACATAACAGTGCTCCATAACATAAAAGTGCTAACGTAGAAGCTGCAGCAAATTATCCAGAAGATCTAGCTAAGATCATTAATGAAGGTAGCTACACTAAAAACAACAGATCTTCAATGTATACAAACAGCGCTATATAGGAGGAAAATGCTACTTAGGACTTTCATAGCTAGAGAAGAGAAGTCAACCCCTGGCTTCAAAACTTCAAAGGACAGACTGACCCTCTCGGCACAGGCTAAGGCTGCTGCTGACTTTAAGTTGAAGCCAATGCTCATTTACCATTCTGAAAATCCTAGGGACCTTAAAAATTATGCAAGGGGCGTCTGGGTGGCTCAGTTGATCGAAAGTGTGTCTGACTTTTGGTTTTGGCTAGGTCATGATCTCGCGGTTTCAGGGTTCGAGCCCCGCATCAGGCTCTGTGGTGGCAGCATGAAGCCTGCTTGGGATTCTCTCTCTCCCGCTCTCTCTGCCCTTCTCTGTCTCTGTCTCTGTCTCTCTCAAATAAATAAATAAAAGTTTTAAAAAAACCTTAAAAATACTAGGCTAAATCTATTCTGCCTGCACTCAATCAATGGAACAACAAAGCCTGGATGATAGTACATCTGTTTACAACATGACTTACTAAGTACTTTAAGTCCACTGTTGAGGCCTATTTTCAGAAAATAAGATTCCTTCCAAAATATGACTGTTCATTAACAATGCAGTGGTCAGCCACTCAAGAGCTCTGATGGAAAGGTATAATGGGATTAATGTTCTCATGCCTGCTAACACAACAACCATTCTGCAGCTTATGGACCAAAGAGCAACTTCAACTTTCTATTCTTATTATTGAAGAAATACATTTCATAAAGCTATAGCTGTCATAGACAGCGATTCCTCCGATGGATCTGGGCAAAGTCAATTGAAAACCTTTTGAAAAGGATTCATTCTAGATGCCATTAAGAACATTCATGATTCATGGGAAGAGGTTAAAATTTCAACATTAGTAGGAATTTGGAAAAAGTTGATTCCATCCCTCACGGACGGCTTTGAGAGGGTCAAGGCTTCAGTGTAGGAAGTAACCGCAAATGTGGTGGAAAGAGGAAAAGAACTAGAAGTACAGCCTGAGGATGTGACTGAATTGCTGCAATCTCAAGATAAAATTTGAATGTATCAAAAGGTACTTTTTATGGATGAACAAATAAAGTGGTTTTTTGAGATGGATCTATTCCTGGTGAAGACACTGTGAAGACTGTTGGAATGACAACAAAGAATTTAGAATATTTAGAATATTCCATAAACTCAGTTGATAAAGTAGCAGCAGAGGTGGAGAGGATGGATTCTAATTTTGAAAGAAGGTCCACTGTGCGTAAAATGCTATCAAACAGCATTGCATGCTACAGAGATATCATTTGTAAAAGGAAGAATCAATGCTGCAAACTTCCCTGTCATCTTTTAAAGAAATTGCCACAGCCACCTCGACCTTCAACCTTCAGCAACCACTACCCTTACAGTCAGCAGCAGCCATTGACATCAAGGCAAGAAGATTATATGACTCATTGAAAGCTCAGATGATGGTTACCATTTTTCAGCAATAAACATTTTTAATTAAGGTGACTGCATTGTTTTTTAGACATAACGCTATTGCATACTTAACAGACTGCAGTATAGTATAAACATAGCTTTTATATGCACTGGGAAACCAAAAATATTCATTTGAATTGCTTTTTTGCAGTGGTCTGGAACACAGTATCTCTGAGGTATGCCTGTATTTAAAACTGAAACCTGATCTCAGGAAGACACTCCACTGCCACCACTGCCACCACCACCACTGCCACACACATTTTTCCAATGCTGTTCTGGTAAGATTTTAAGGAAAACTTTACCAGCATTAATTCTTTTTTTTTTTTT